GACCCCAACCCCAAACATCAGTCGCCCTCAGAGCAGAACGGCAGCAGGAGCGGGGGGCACGGGGCGGGGTGGAGAGGGCCCCCGTGGGCCCTGCAGGCCCTGCTTTCCGGCCCAAACAGCTGCTCGCAGGGCTCAGGGCTCTGGGCTCCCGCCTGGAGTCTCTTTCCCAAGCTGCACCTTTGGGGTGGGGGGGGGTTTGAAACGCTGGGAAGAGGAAGAGCAGGAAAAGCGGGTCTTCCGTCCTGGCTCCGGGGAAGCCCTTTGTGTGGGGGCCGGAGCCGCCTCCCCTCCCCGGAAGCGAGCTTTCCCACCGCAGGGAACACAATGCCCCCCGCATTGTCCCCGCGCCTCCCCCTGGACGTGGGAAGTGGCGTGCCCGGCCGAAGGGACGGAAAGGCCGGGGCAGAGGTCAGGCGGCTTCCCGGACACAGCCCAGCTGCCGAGGCCAGAGCAGCACAGGCCAGGGGCTCCCACGACCGCTGTGGTGGAAGCCCACGGGCGGAGGGAGCAAAGCCTGCGGACCCTCCCCTGGGAGGCGTTTCCCACCTGCTCCCCAAAAGACAGAGCCCCACGCTGGAGACACGGCTGGGGTGCGGGTCCTCCCCGGGCTCTGAGGACTTAATCCCAAACTCGATTAATTAAGTCAGCAACTGGCCGCTGAGCTCCGCGCCAAAGCCAACCCCCATCCCGGCCGGTTCTGGCCTCTGCTCTGCTCTCGGGAGAGATGCCAGGGGTGGGGGGAGGGAGGCGGGCACTCGGGGGCAGCCCTGGCACTGGGTTCAGTGTCCTGAGAACTCAGGGGAGGCACCAAGGACCCCCTCATCGCAGTCCCAGAAAGAGGAGAGGGAGGCCCCCACCTGCACTTCCCGTCGGGATCTTGCAGCCGTTCTGCCGGGACACGTCCTGCAGGTACACCCCGGCCCGTTTCCGATGAGAAAACGGGGCTCACAACTCCGCCTTCCTCAACCCCCAGGTGGCCAGACTCCGAGGGGAGTCAACAAAGTTGGGGAAGGGGCTGGACAGTGGGAACAGGCCGTCCCCGGGCCGCTCAGGGCCGGCAGGAGCTCCGAGGGCAGAGGGAGGGTGGGCAGCTGCCTGCCCGGGTGCCCGTGTCTCTCCCCGGACCACCTGATCCCTGGGACCTGCCGGGAGGCAGCAGACAATGCGTCCTCACATCCTCACAGTGGCTGAAACACAAAACCTGGCCGGGGGTGCTCCTGGTGAGGGGCCTGGGAACTGGGGCGCCTCCGCACCCCTTCTGGCCAGCAGGAGGGTCACACCAGCGCTGGACGCCTGTCACCGCCCGCTGGCACTGGGGACGAGGGGCCGGAGCCCACAGCAAGCTGGCCACTG